TTTCTTATCCCTTTCAATCATACTTTTTTTAGCCATATTGTTTATAAAAAATAAAAATAACGGAAGAAGCTTATATAGTGAATTTCAGGCTATCCCACCTCTTGAGAGGTGGGATAGCCTAAAAAACTTACTATTTTCTTAATATCTCAAAAATAGATTTTTACAAAATAGTAAGCAGTTATGATGTTGACATATCCTTAACCGAATTTACCTGAGGTAGATGCAATTAGGAAAGCAGCATAGGTAAATACATAACCTACAGAGAAATGAGCTAATCCTACTAATCTAGCTTGCACAATAGAAAGAGCTACTGGTTTATCTTTCCAACGCACAAGATTAGCTAATGGAGTACGTTCATGAGCCCAAGCTAATGTCTCGATCAATTCTTGCCAATAACCACGCCAAGAGATCAAGAACATGAAACCTGTAGCCCAAACAAGGTGTCCAAATAAGAACATCCAAGCCCATACAGACAAACTGTTCATACCGAATGGGTTGTATCCATTAATTAACTGAGATGAGTTTAACCATAGATAATCTCTAAGCCAGCCCATTAAGTAAGTAGAAGATTCATTAAATTGCGCTGCATTACCTTGCCATAAAGCTAAGTGTTTCCAATGCCAGTAGAAGGTTACCCATCCAATAGTATTTAACATCCAGAAAACAGCTAGATAAACAGCATCATAAGCAGAAATATCGCAAGTTCCACCTCTACCTGGACCGTCACAAGGGAAGCTGAATCCAAATTCCTTTTTGTCAGGCATTAATTTAGATCCACGAGCATCTAAAGCACCTTTCACAAGAATCAAGGTTGTTGTATGCAAACCTAGAGCAATTGCATGGTGTACTAAGAAATCCCCTGGGCCAATAGTCAAGAATAAAGAATTACTATTGTTATTAATAGCATCTAACCACCCTGGTAACCATAGACTTTTTCCTGCAGTAATAGTAATGCTAGAACTGGAAGAAAGTAATACATCAAATCCATATAAAGCCTTACCATGAGTAGATTGAATCCACTGAGCAAAAACAGGTTCAATTAGGATTTGTTTTTCTGGAGTACCAAAAGCCAGTACAACATCATTATGTACGTATAGACCAAGTGTATGGAAGCCCAAGAATAAGCTAGCCCAACTTAGGTGAGAAATAATAGCTTCTTTGTGTTCCAACATTCTAGCCAATACATTTCCTTTGTTTTGCTCTGGATTGTAATCTCTGATAAAGAAAATTGCACCATGAGCAAAAGCTCCTGTCATGATGAAGCCAGCAATATACTGATGGTGAGTATAAAGTGCTGCTTGAGTAGTAAAATCTTGAGCTATGAATGCATAAGAAGGTAAGGAATAGCTGTGCTGAGCTACCAAAGAAGTGATAACACCTAAACACGCTAATGCTAATCCTAATTGGAAATGAAGAGAATTATTCACTGTGTCAAATAGGCCTTGGTGACCGCCGCCCATACGACCGCTTGGAGCAATATGTGCTTCCATAATCTCTTTCATACTATGTCCAATTCCAAAGTTGGTACGATACATATGTCCAGCAACGATGAATATTACAGCAATTGCTAGATGGTGATGAGCTATATCGCTTAACCAAAGACTTTGTGTCTGTGGATGAAAACCGCCTAAGAAAGTTAAGATAGCAGTACCAGCTCCTTCTGAAGTACCAAAGATATGGCTGCTAGAATCTGGATTTTGTGCATAAACACCCCATTGGCCAGCAAAGAAAGGTGCTAAACCTTGTGGATGTGGAGCAGTAGTTAAGAAATTATCCCATCCTACATGCTGTCCTCTAGATTCAGGAATAGCTACGTGTACGATATGTCCAGCCCAAGCCAAAGAACTGGTTCCAAATAAACCAGCTAAATGGTGGTTTAAACGAGACTCAGCATTTTTGAACCAAGAAACACTAGGTTTCCACTTAGGTTGTAGATGTAACCATCCACCTACTAAAGAAACAGCAGCTAATCCTAATAGGAAAAGTGCTCCTGTGTAAAGATCTTGGTTAGAACGTAGACCTTGAGTATACCACCATTGATATACACCGGAATAGGAAATATTTACAGGACCAGAAGCGCCTCCTCGAGTATAAGCTTCTACTGCTGGTTGTCCAAAATGAGGATCCCAAATTGCATGTGCGATAGGACGAACATGCAAAGGATCTTGAGACCACGCTTCAAAATTGCCCTGCCATGCTACGTGAAACAAATTCCCAGAGGTCCACAAGAAGATAATTGCTAACTGACCAAAATGAGAAGCAAAAATCTTCTGATAAAGCCGTTCTTCGGTGATATCATCATGACTTTCGAAGTCGTGTGCAGTAGCAATTCCAAACCAAATACGGCGAGTGGTTGGGTCTTGGGATAGGCCCTGGCTAAATTTTGGAAATCTTGATGCCATAATGCTTTAAAACCCTCCTAGCCATTATCCTACTGAAATAATTCTTGCTAGGAAGAATGCCCATGTTGTGGCAATCCCACCCAGAAGGTAATGAGCTACTCCTACAGCACGCCCTTGAGTAATACTAAGAGCTCGAGGCTGGATAGCAGGAGCAACTTTAAGCTTATTATGAGCCCATAGAATGGATTCAATTAGTTCTTGCCAATAACCACGGCCACTAAACAAGAACATCAAGCTAAATGCCCATACGAAGTGAGCACCTAAGAAAACTAAACCATATGCAGATAAAGCAGATCCATAAGATTGAATTACTTGAGATGCTTGTGCCCATAAGAAATCACGCAACCATCCATTAATGGTAGTTGCACTTTGAGCAAAGTTCCCTCCAGTAATATGAGATACTCCTTGAGCATTTACAGTTCCCCATACATCTGATTGCATCTTCCAACTAAAATGGAAAATTACTACAGAAATAGAGTTATACATCCAGAATAGACCCAAGAATACATGGTCCCAAGCAGAAACTTGGCAAGTACCACCACGTCCTGGACCATCACAAGGGAAGCGGAAGCCTAAATTAGCTTTATCTGGGATTAGTCGAGAACTACGAGCAAATAATACACCCTTCAAAAGAATCAAAACAGTAACGTGAATAGTAAATGCATGAATATGGTGCACTAGGAAATCAGCTGTTCCTAATGGAATAGGAGACATTGCTACTTTCCCACCTACTGCTACTAATTCACTACCACCCCAAGTGATACTGCTAGCGGCAGCTGCATTAGGTGCTGTGAAACCAGGTGCTGCAGCGTTAGTATTTTGAACCCATTGAGCAAACACAGGCTGAAGTTGAATAGCTGTGTCAGAGAACATATCTTGAGGACGACCTAAGGCACTCATAGTATCGTTATGAATATACAAACCAAAACTATGGAATCCTAGGAAGATACATACCCAGTTAAGATGAGAAATAATTGCATCTCTATGACGTAGAACACGATCTAATAGATTGTTATACTGAGTAGTTGGATCGTAATCTCTTACCAAATAGATAGCTGCATGAGCACCAGCCCCTACAACGCAGAATCCACCAATCCACATGTGGTGTGTGAATAAGGATAACTGAGTACCATAATCAGTTGCTAAATATGGGTAAGGAGGCATAGCATACATATGATGTGCTATGATAATTGTTAAAGATCCAAAAGTAGCTAAGTTTAATGCTAATTGAGCATGCCAAGAAGTGGTCAAAATTTCATAAAGTCCTTTGTGACCTTCACCAGTCATAGGCCCTTTGTGAGCTTCTAACATTTCTTTCATGCTATGACCAATTCCCCAGTTAGTTCTATACATATGTCCTGCTACTAGGAAAAGGACTGCAATTGCTACGTGGTGGTGAACTGTATCAGTTAACCATAAACCTCCTGTAACTGGATTTAGACCGCCACGGAAAGTTAAGAAATCAGAATACTCTGCCCAGTTTAAGGTAAAGAAAGGAGTTACACCTTTCGCAAAGCTAGGATATAACTGAGCTAATAAGTCTCTGTTAAATATAAATTCGTGAGGCAAAGGAATTTCTTTAGGGTCAACTCCTGCATCTAACAATTGGTTGATAGGCAAAGATACATGAATTTGGTGTCCAGCCCAACCCAAAGATCCTAAGCCTATTAGACCGCCTAAATGGTGGTTCATCATAGATTCTGCATCTTGGAACCAAGCCAATTTAGGTGCAGCTTTATGATAATGGAACCAACCAGCGATAAACATTAAGCCTGCCATTAATAAACCACCAATTGCAGTGGAATATAACTCTAGTTCAGTAGTGATTCCAGAAGAACGCCACATTTGGAATAAACCAGAGGTAATTTGAACTCCCTGGAATCCACCACCTACGTCGCCGTTCAAAATTTCTTGACCTACAATTGGCCAAACAACTTGAGCACTAGGTTTGATGTGGGTTGGATCACTTAACCATGCTTCATAATTGGAAAAGCGTGCACCATGAAAATACATTCCGCTTAACCAAATGAATATGACAGCTAATTGACCAAAGTGTGCACTAAAAACCTTACGAGAAATTTCTTCTAGATCACTAGTGTGGCTATCAAAATCGTGAACATCAGCATGCAGGTTCCAAATCCAAGTGGTTGTAGTAGGACCTTTTGCTAACGCACGAGAGAAATGACCTGGCTTAGCCCATTTTTCAAAAGAGGTTTTTACAGGATCATTGTCTACCACAATCTTGACTTCTGGTTCCGGTGAACGAATAGTCATTGAGATTCTCCTCTCTTCAGACGAGACAAAGGAAACACCTGCCCAAAATCATGAATCAGCTTCTGAGAGGGTAATATTTTAGAATTGCTACCCACTTTATTAAGTCTGTAACTAGAACAACTATGATACAGAAGTGACCCAGGACAGACTCCTAAATATATTATGACACACATTTAAGGTGCTTAATGGACCAATACATAAATAAGTGAAAGTTAGGAATTTAACCTGTATATTTACTAGGCAAGTAATAAAAAATGCGAAGTGAAGCAAATAATGGAAACTTTGCTATATTTTATATATTTTTATTTTATATCAAACATAAAGGACATTCTGATCAATTTGTTCGCCATACAACATACAAAAAAGAGAAAATATAGCAAACTACAACCGTGCGCAGGATTCCTGCGCACAGTTGTTATATATGCAGCTTGCCTCTAAAACAAGATTGTTTAGCCAACGAAAGGAGCTTCAACAGATGCTAAGTCTAGAGGGAAGTTGTGAGCGTTACGCTCGTGCATAACTTCCATACCTAGGTTAGCACGGTTGATGATATCAGCCCAAGTGTTGATTACACGACCTTGGCTATCAACTACGGATTGGTTGAAGTTGAAACCGTTTAGGTTGAATGCCATAGTACTGATACCTAAAGCAGTAAACCAAATACCTACTACAGGCCAAGCAGCCAAGAAGAAGTGTAGAGAACGAGAGTTGTTGAAACTAGCATATTGGAAGATTAGACGTCCAAAGTAGCCGTGAGCTGCAACAATGTTGTAAGTTTCTACTTCTTGACCAAACTTGTAACCAGCGTTAGCAGATTCGTTTTCGGTGGTTTCACGGATCAAGCTGGAGGTAACCAAGGAACCATGCATTGCACTGAATAGAGAGCCGCCGAAAACACCAGCCACACCTAGCATATGGAATGGGTGCATAAGGATGTTGTGCTCAGCTTGGAATACGATCATGAAGTTGAAAGTACCAGAGATACCTAAAGGCATACCGTCAGAGAAACTTCCTTGTCCGATTGGGTAGATTAGGAATACTGCGGTAGCAGCTGCAACAGGAGCAGAGTATGCAACAGCGATCCAAGGACGCATACCTAGACGGAAGCTAAGTTCCCATTCACGACCCATGTAAGAAGCTACACCTAAAAGGAAGTGAAGAACGATTAGTTGGTAAGGACCACCATTGTATAACCATTCATCAACGGAAGCAGCTTCCCAGATAGGGTAGAAGTGCATACCGATTGCTGCAGAAGTAGGAACGATAGCACCAGAAATGATGTTGTTTCCGTATAGAAGAGAACCAGAAACAGGCTCACGGATACCATCGATATCTACTGGAGGAGCTGCGATGAAACCAATGATGAATACAGAAGTTGCAGTTAGAAGAAGAGGTACCATCAATACGCCGAACCATCCGATGTAAAGACGGTTTTCGGTGCTGGTAATAAAGTCAGAGAAACGACCCCATAGGCTTGCGCTTTCGCGTCTTTCTAAAGTAGCAGTCATGGTAATTATTGGTTAATAAAGTAATAAAATATGACTCAAGCTGCTTATAAGCTTGTTAGTATATATTATTACACAGAGAGTGTCATATGTCAACCTGATTTTTTATTACAACTCTTTTTATCGATGGTATCTCTATACAATGTTCGAAAGAACTTCTTATAATAAAAAGGATTGCAAAATCAAATCCCTATGAAAATATAGACATCATTGATGTCTATGTGTTTATTTGTATAAAAGAATTCGAAAAAACACTTTGGTTTTTTCCAATTTACAGTTACTATAGTATCAGAGTTATGGATAGCAGCAAGGAAACTAGCTGCTTCTACCTATAAATTTTTGAAGAAAAATCAGACCATGCAAAAAAGAGATGCTTGTAAATGGATACGAAGATGGGTGGGGCTATCAATCTCAATCATAGTTATGGCTTTGCCAATGGCTTTGCCATTAAATTCGGAAGCATTTCCGATATTTGCACAGCAAAACTATGAAAGTCCTCGAGAAGCGACTGGACGCATTGTATGTGCTAATTGCCATTTGGCAAAAAAACCGGTGGATATCGAAGTGCCACAAGCAGTTCTTCCCAATACTGTTTTTGAAGCAGTAGTTAAGATTCCGTATGATACCCAAATTAAACAGGTATTAGCCAATGGTAAAAAAGGGAATATCAATGTAGGCGCTGTGGTAATCTTACCGGAAGGCTTTGAATTAGCACCTGAAGATCGTATTCCTCCAGAAATGAAAGAAAAGATTAATAATCTTTACTTCCAAACTTACAGACCCGAGCAGAAAAATATTTTGGTAGTAGGTCCTGTACCTGGAAATAAATATAGTGAAATGGTATTTCCTATATTATCTCCCGATCCAGCTACTAACAAAGAAGCGTCTTTCTTAAAATATCCAATCTATTTAGGTGGGAATAGAGGACGTGGACAACTTTATCCTGATGGTAGCAAGAGTAATAATACAGTTTTTAGTGCTTCTGCTTCAGGAACAATTAAGAAAGTTGTTCGTACTAATATCAAAAAAGGTGGTTACGATATAACCATTATTACAGCAGACGGTAAAGAAGTAATTGACGTTATTCCTCCAGGACCAGAATTAATTGTTTCCGAAGGAGAATCCGTTAAAGTTGATCAACCATTGACTAATAATCCAAACGTAGGTGGTTTTGGACAAGCAGAAACCTCCATAGTACTGCAAGATCCATTAAGAATTCAAGGACTTCTTGTATTCTTTGCATCTGTAATTTTGGCACAGATTTTCCTAGTTCTGAAGAAAAAACAATTTGAAAAAGTACAACTTGCTGAGATGAATTTCTAAGTAAATAAAGTATTGATGTGGAAAACCACAGGAAGCGCTCGATTATCTTTTCTATAGATCGTATGAGTCCTAATCAATGAGCTTAGATCTAAAGCCTCTCCATTTACAACGTGTAATGATGGAGTGCTTAAATATTGAGAGTTTTGAACACTGTTATTTCATTCCTGTTTTGGCACAAACAGCAGAATACTGGGGAGATGCTCAAGTAGCATCTACCTGTAATCTTATGTCACAACAGGTAAAAGAATATTTTGATCATGCAGCTCATGTTCATTTCTATCTAGCAAAACAGCATAGACATTTGAATCAGAATTTCTCTATGCATGATCAGTATTATGGTTTGCTAAATACCATAAAAGTAGAAAAAAGACAAAAAGATCAAAAAATCTCTCAGTATCAAAGTGATATCTTCGATTCTTGTAATGAAACCACTAGAAGCTTGAAATCAATTCATGGAACACATTTTTTTCTAAATAAATACGAAAAAGAAAAAAAAAATATATTGAAATCTTTAGAAGAAATAGACAACAACCTTTGGGAAATTTCAAAAAAAATAGAAGAGAATCTAGAAAGAAAAAATATGCATCATAATATTCAAAAAACTTTCTCCTCAATGCCTAGAAACTTTCTAGATCATGATGATTTTTTTCTACTTTTAAAAATTTTACGACATCGTAAAATTTGGAAATCAACTAGATGGTATCCATTAGTGTCTAAATTAACATCTAATGAAAAAATGTTTCATATATCACGTCTATTTATGCAAATGTCTCAATCGGAGAAAGATATTAGTAGATTATTGATGGAATTAATGCACCAATAAATTTATTGACTATACTGTTTGCTTTGAAATGCAAATATCAAAAGAAATTCCCCAAAGGAAAGATTTTCCCTTTGGGGAATTTCTTGAAGAAGTCCCTTTTATTGAGTAGACACAAGATCAATACATTTCATTTAAGCTCGTTACTCAATTCCCTGGTTAGGATTCTACTCTTAATTATAGGGAAGAACCTAAACCAACATAAGAGCCGTAAAAGAAAAGGCCCACTAGAGTGGTGACAGCAATGCCTGCTACTGTCCCTATAAACCACAACGGAATTCTTCCTGTAGTTCCAACGTTAGACATCTGTTCTACTCCCTTCACATCTGCATTGGAGGTCTTGGCTAAAGATCATTACAGCCACAAGCAACAAAGTAACTAAATACGAATTTTCCAAATGAGGCAATAACCAACTATTATTACTAGTTAAAGAAGTAGCTAGAAAAGAGTACTGCAAGTACAAAAATTAGTAGCAGTCCCCAAAATAAACTAGTACGGTTTAACTCGACGTTTTGCTTGTTCGGGTTTGGTTGTGTCATAATTGTGCGCTTTATAAAGAGCTTACCTTTGAATGAACTGCATTGCTGAGATAGAGCCCAAGAAAAAAACTGTAGGCACAGCTAGCCCATGAACAGCCAGCCATCTAACCGTAAAGATGGGATAAGTTCTATCGATAGTCATTTAATATCTCCTATAGCGATCTGGTAAATTCGTCTAGTTGCTCTAGAGAGTTGAAACGTCCAGTAATTAAAGGAACTTCTTGACGACTCTCTGTAAAGTATTCGTTAGGACGAGGACTTCCGAATACGTCATAAGCAAGACCTGTGCTAACGAACAACCAACCCGCTATAAATAGCGAAGGGATTGTAATGCTATGGATAACCCAGTAACGAATACTGGTAATAATATCTGCAAAGGGGCGCTCTCCCGTATTCCCAGACATGGTTAGCTCCGTGTGTAAAGATAAGACAAAGTATAAAGTTAATAAAGAATGTGAGCTGTTTAGGCTCTTTTCTATTTTGTCTTATCAGGTGGTATTATACTAAGAGTATTTGCAAAACATGCTAAGTAAGTATAACCAAGATACCTTTCGCACAGCAAGGCACTTTGTCCCATTGTCAGTTAATAGTATTTTACAAAAAATACGGTGAGAATATACAGTCACACATAATTCGATAAAAAAAAATATCAACTGACTTGCGACAATTATTAAAAAGAAAAAACTATCTTCTTTTTTTTATAGAATAGGAAAAAGTATGCAAAGTATCTTTCTAGTACAAAAAAATATCAATAGATGATTTTTGTAGAAAAAAATCAATTAGTTAATTGAATTCCATACATTCATACACCAAAGATCTCCTCATTCCTTCCAATCCAGGAGAGGAGATCTCAAAACTAACACTTTATTTTTAGTAAACAAGGGTTCCTGAATTAGAGTTCCTTAGACGATTTCGTCTTGTTCAATGTACAAGAAGAAAGAAGCAAAAGCTACAGCTGGAAATACTAAACCTACCAAAGGAACCAAAATAGAAGGTAGATAGGAAGCGGTCATGGATGTGTTCCCTCATGTAATATATACCTTGTGAGATAATTTATCACAAAGTAAATTCTTGAATATCTAAGATATGAATCTATGTCTAATTTACTAAATAAATTAGTGGACCTAAGAGTCTTCTCTGTATCTCATAACTATTGTTAAAAAATAAGTTCTCAAGTCATACTAGTATTTATATGACTTTTGATAAGAGATACCATCTATATCGAATCGAATTGAGAATAGAAAAACAATCGTTCTATAAAATAAACGCTTTCTGCACTGATAACGTCTAACAGACGATTATATAACAAGTTTATGTAATACACAATCTATTCTGTATTACTATACAAAAAATATATCATTAACATACTATCAACATGTTATTGGGATTTCTTTTGTATTTTTACAAGGAGCAGATTTATAAAGTTCAAACAATTCTCCTAACACACCTTTCAAAATGGCTCTAGGAACAATTAAATCTAATAATCCATGATCTAATAATGATTCAGCTACTTGAAACCCGTCAGGTACTTCCTGTCGTAAAGTTTGTTCAATAACACGTTTGCCAGCAAAAGCAATATATGCTTTCGGTTCAGCAATAATGATATCACCTAACATACCAAAACTAGCAGTAACACCTCCTGTAGTTGGATAAGTAAGAATAGATATATAAAGTAACTTATGTTGAATTTGATGAATTTGTAAAACAGAAGCAATTTTTGCCATTTGCATTAAACTTAGTGTACCTTCTTGCATACGTGCTCCTCCAGAAGCACATACAATAACAAGTGGTAATTTATGTTGCGTAGCATGTTCAATTAATCGGGTAAGTTTTTCGCCAACTACTGATCCCATACTGCCTCCCATAAATTGGAAATCCATCACTCCTAATGCAATAGGAGTACCATTCAGTTCTCCTACACCAGTTTGAACAGCATCTGTCAATCCTGTACGTATTTGATTTTCTTCAATCCGATCTCTATATGATTGTTGATCGAAAAAATCTAATACATCACAAGGAAGCATATCTTCGTCCATAGGTTCCCAAGTACCAGGATCAATCAGGAGTTCAATTCTTTCTGTACTATTCATCTCTAAATGATAGCCACATTCTTCACAAATACGTTGATTTTGTTTTAAAAATCGTACATATAGCATGCTTTCACAATTATCACATTGTGTCCATAATCCTTCGCTAGGATCAGATTCTGGATATTTTGGCTTTGGCGTAGTAAGTAGTTTAAGCCTACGTTTTTCTTCAAACCAATCAACTAATGACATAACTAAAATCCTCCTTGTTTTAATAGAAGCACAGTCAATACTTATTGAGAATAAGCAGAACCGATTGTAATATATTCAGTGTGATA